CAGCAGTTTCCCTGCAGTCCTATTTAGTTGCTTCCACGACTTCCCACACTCTTTCATTTACTCCTCACAGGATCTCCTACATTTCACCATCACACCCACATCCAACTTGTAACTTTACATTCAGGTTCCAGTCGAGGAGTCACATGGCTCGTGATGTTATTCAACAGTCGTCTCAGTGTGTTTACGATCTATCCCCATTCCCTTGTAGGTTATTTCGTTGTTAGAGTTCCTTGTTACTTGTATCAAGTGAAAGAGGCATCTTTTGATGAAATTCTGCAATAGCCTGTTGGGAATGCTCCTCGTAACGAGTGAATCAACTCTATGGACAACATAGAAGCACTAAAGTGACATCAGTGTTGAAAATCCTGATTTCCACACACACTGATTTAAGACTAATAAAGATCTGCCTTGCGTTTACCATTCTGACTGACGACTTTGACATCTTCATCCGTGCCAACCTGTCGTTGAAACGACGCTGCCTAGTTAAGTGTAATTGGTGACTTCTTTTTTGCACTTCTCCTGATCATGGGGGTTAGTTGCTGTTGTTCTTGTTGTTGGTCAGTGGATATCTTCATCACCAATGTCTTCTGTATGTATGCTTACTTGAAGTCCTGTCTTCGCTGACTGCTTCTTCTGCCAATTTGTTGGCTTTTTATTCTAAAATGTAGATTTCATCTCAGTGGTTGAATGGTCTAAAACCTCGCTTTGCAATCCTGCAGGTCTTGGGTTCACTTTCTCGTCAGGGGATGAGTGAGTAGTGTAGAAGAGTCCCAAACACTAGGATGAAACAGCTGTCCAGCACTCCATGTGCTGATTTTCACTAGTTCTCTAACTGATATCAACCCGTAATCGAATCCAATTAATTCCGTGTTAGATAAGTTTATTTTAATAATCACACACAGTGGTGATGCAGTATTAACAACTGGATGACAGACAAGGTTTCGAGCATATAAATTATTGCTACTCATAATCATATCATTGTATCAGTCACACAGCTTCACAATTTGTCATATAAATATTTCTTCTCTCTTTCTGTCTCTCCAACTTCATTAGTTGTTTGTTGCCACTTTCCATGTCTCCGGTATAGGCGTTGAGTCATTCTGAATCGATAATCAAAGCTTCAGTGATTAACCTCTCTATCCCTCCAGCTAACTGTATTACTTTCTAATACTCTCACCCTGTCCCACCCAGCCTATTTTGTGATTACATGCAAGTGAATGCAACGCAGTGGCTGAGCTTTTCTCTAGGTTACTTAACTTAGCAGGG